AGAGATTTACATATCTACCGCTCCTAATATAAAAAAGACATTAAAATTTAGGGTCTGTTTGGCCAGCGACGAGTCACCGCAGTACAATTTTGTCAGTTTGGATAAACTGTATTTTGGTAGCTTTTTCAAAAAACTGCCGCTGAAATATTGTTTTCTCATCACTCATGACTAGGTGCGGTGACAGCTTTATAGCTCCGATCTGATTTTAAGAAAAAAAATTGTAATAGTCACCGCAGTTTTTTGAACATTATATTTTTATTCAGGAGTTTCAGGACAATTTTTTAATAAGTTACAGCTGACTCAATCAAATCCAATAAGTTACACCTCAAACTCATTAATTTCTTTTTGCTAAATTAGACAAAATATAAAAATAACTCCTACAATGGAGCACGGAAGAGAATGAATGTGGGGTATAATATATATTCTTTTCATAGAAATTTTGTTCAAAATTATTCAAAATGTAGAATATGAAGTTTACTTGAAATTATTTGTCAATTCAAACATAAAATTTAATTAAAAAAAATCTGAAATTTTCTTTAATTTAATTCATATTTTAATTGTGTAAAAATATGTACTTTAGTCGCATTAATATAGGTTTAATAATCATTAAATTCATCCAGAAATTTTTGCGGGAGACTGTTCGGATTCAAAATTTTTCTTTTTGGCGTAATACTTAGAAATAATCATGCATTAAATTCAAGAAATTTGCAGACATACCACAAAATTTTATGTATTTACAATGATAGATCCGAGAGATTGATCTTTATGTTTATAATATTTTGGTTTTATAAACTTATGTGTGGAAAGTTATATTTCACTTTGTACGTAAAAAAAATATTTCAGCACAAATCTCAAAGAAATCAAGCGAGTCATAGGACCCACATGAAGTAAATCAAAAGTTTGCACTTATTCTCCTTGCTCATACCAACCTGATGAAGTCCAACCCTCATGATTAGTGGTAGTCAACGATCCATTAGAAAGACACTCTGGCCGAATTTTCGCACGACTTTTAACTCGGGACCCCTTGAGGTAGACCAGACGGATGAAACAGTATGCCCAGATTAGTCTCTACCGGCTCTACCGACAACGACCGCTCGGGTCAAACACCCAACCGAATGGCCTTTTAAGTTCCCGACCAGATTAATACAAATTATCAAAAATACCCCTCGTTGGCCCTACACAAAGTGTAAATTGGTCAAACTCTTTCTTATAAATAGGAGTTTCATTTCATAAATAAATGTTACACAATTAATTGTTTCTTATTGTGTTCGCTTTACTTTATCACTCTTTTTAATGTTCTATTTCTTGGGTGTTTCTCCCGGGAAATTTTGAATTCAACATTCTAAAATATGCAATGAGTAAGGTAACGTGCCATTAACAAGAAGATGAACACAACGGTAAGAGGAAAACCATTAAAGATACATATGTAATGTGGAATGTATCAAAGAATTCATAGAGGAGTTTGTGTAGCGGAAATGTAGGAGTTAAGAACCCGAAAGCAAAGCAGATGTTGAGCCAGATTGCAGAGGTTCAGAGAGTTATCGCGGCCCTTGGAGGTGGATGTGCTTCTCAAGAGCGAAACCCCCCTTGAGAGGTGGTGCCGACACACAACGGCAGGAGACTGAACCATGGTCTGGTGTGGGTTGGAGATTCACAGTACTAGGATAGTCTTGGATCTGCACAGATGGAGAGATACTAGTTTTGGCTTATTGAGACCCCACACAACCGGAGAATGTGTTCTCTCTCCAGATTTTGGGAGATGAACCCCTGGAGACGTTTACACTTCTAGCAATAGAAGCTTGCAGGGGTTGATCAGATCCCAACAATCAACTCGCTTTGTTCTAGCCATCAATGTGATTGCTCAAGGTTTTGGATGCATTTAAATGCCTTATGTTCTTCACCACCTTGAGGTCATTGGCTCTAAGGTGGTTCAACTCGCTGTCAGTCGGAAGTATAAGCTACTTTTTCAGACTTTAGAAGATTTTTTCTGGAGTAGTTCACAAGCTCTCGTAGAACAACTGAGGTTCCGAAGATGTATGACCTTTTGACACCCTCCACTTGACTTCCATACACAGCGGTCCCCTCTGCAGTAGGGCTAACATTGAAAAATTTAGAGGACTACTTGAGAGTCGTGACAATTTGACAAGAGGAAGAAAAAAGAGCAAGATGCAAGAGAAAAATTGGAATGATATTGCGCGACTTTTTAACTTCACCAACTCTATTTATACGCATAGGGGAAGCTAAAGCACCGCGAGGGTACCATCGTCATTCACCACATAAAACCGCATAAAAGAATTCACATCAAACACATATAGTGAGATATAAAAATACAAATTTTTATTTCATAAACAAAATATGTACATTGTTGTCATCCAACTAAAATTTATCAGTCCAATAGAAAATACCTGATGAAATTATCATCCACTGCCTTAATAAAAAATAACCAAGTTGTTACAATTGATTAAACACTGGCTCATCCCTTAATCTAAACATATCTATCTATCTCAAAATGAGCTCGAAAGACTAAAAACAACTCCCAAACGAGTGAAGGGAAGGAAGTGTAGCCCTCTTGAAGTGTAGCTTCCCAAGCATGGATAGAGGCTACATCTTCCTCCAGCCACTCCAGGCTCTTCAGCCTTTCTATTTGTTCAAATCGTCATCGCTCCTTGTGAAGGGAAGGAAGATTGGCTTCCCGGACCAAGGCCTCCCCTATCACATGAAAACCAGTGTTCCATTGAACCGAACGATCCCGACATGCCATTTATCTCAGCATGGACCTCAAAATTACTCCCTGGTGGATCATCCGATTATCCTTTGACCTCAACGGATGCACGATCAATAGGCACCCCCACATGATCAGTGTGGCGCTCCATAGGAGGCGGGCTAACATTCACATCGTCGGAGGCCGGACCTATCACAGTGAGAAAAACGATGAAGCACAATATTTTGAGATAGATAAAAAGAGGTTCATAACAAATATGCATAATAAGTGCCCATCATCCTGTCCAGGTCCGACATGGCAAATGAGCAAGCTCCCTCATCGATCCTTTGTTCTTCTGAAAGAAGAGAATCAACAATCCCACACACATCAGCCGAGGAAGATTGGGAGCAATCACTTGGATAGTTGGACACATCAGTCAAAGGAAGATTGGGAGCCTCCTCCAACATCAATCCAACAGCTGATGCTGACCTTGACCCCTATGCCGGCAGAGATGAAATTTGGGCGAAAGCTGATAGGTCAACCGACCATTCCTCTGCACGGACTATGTCCATCGTCTGACGCTTCTGCACTCAATGATCACTCTCCTTCGTCCGTCCCCTTTCTGCAGGACGATCTTATAGTGAATCGGATGATCCTACCTGATCATTTGGTTCGGAAAGTTTCGCTCTTTTTACAGTCAGCTTCTTGCTCCTCTCAGCCTCGGAACAAAGTGTGACACTCTGTTTCAAGGCCTCAAAGGCCTTTCGCTTAGCTTCCTCACCAAATTTGACTAATTTGTGAGGACGATTGCTTGTCATAGCAAGAAATGAAGTCCAAACAACTCTTGCGAGAAGAAATACAAAGTTAAGTTTCTTCCTTCCCTTCATCCCTTTTTATAAAGATCTTGGCACAAAATGCAAGAAAAAGCTCAATTATTGCACAATTAATAATCAAGAATACAATTAAATTTTTAAAATGTAGGAATCTCTTATCCTTATTGTAGTTGTCCCTATCAAAGAGCAAGAAAATTGGAGAGCTTAATATGTACATAAAAAATATGTCAGCACAAATCTAAAAAAAAATCCAGCAATTGAGAAATAATACATGGCAAGCTAAGACCCACCTAGAGTAAATCGAGAGTCCGCTCATATTCTTTCGGCTCATACCAGCCCGACGAAGTCAAGCCCTTATGACAAGCGCCAGTCAATGATCCATTCAAAGGGTACTATGATCAAATCTTTCACACAACTTATACCTCAGGACCTCCGAGACAGACCAAACCGACAGGGGCAAAAGCAGCCTTTTTCTTTTTTAGCCGGGAAGAGTTTGGGTGGTTGGCATTATGTACCTAACGGCCAGCACCTAGAACACAACGTGGGAGGAACTAGAGAAATGGAGGGAAAAGTAATATTCCAGGAGGGGCCAAAGACTAATTTTGCCCTTCTATGTAAGTAAAAAACTAAATTTGAGAGGAGTCAATTGCCCTCCCTAAACAGTACTTGGGTCCGCCCCTGCATACGGATGAAATGATCCGCCCGGGTCAACCACTTGGATGAATGCCCTCTTATGCTCCCAACAATATTAATACAAATTATCAAAAATACACCTTTTTGATTCTGTTTTACCAGGGACCCATAGTGTAAATTGGTCAAACCCTTCCCTATAAATAAGAAGTTCATTTCATAAATAAAAGCTACGTAATTTCATTGTATCATGGTGCTCTCTCTTCTCTTTCTCTCTTTTACGCTCTATTCCACGAATGTGTCTCCCGGATAATATTAGATTCAACACACTTTAAAAAGGGTTATTAAAAGTAATATTTCAATGTAATATTAAAATTTTGAGTGCTATGCATGTAAATATAAAAGTTTTGGATGTTAGATTTGTAATTACAAAAGAATTGTGTGGTATGCATGTATATAATAGTTATAGAAGCATTTAAGTTGTTAAAATATATTTTCTAATTATTAAATGGCCGTAACATTTTCAAATTCTTGAGCTGTAATTGAGTGGTGATTGATTGGATTAGACACCAAAATTCATTTCGTTGAACAATTCCATTAACTAGCCCCAATTTTAAATTGTTTTATTAATCAAATGAATTTCAATTAAATATTATAAACTTAATATTACAAATGAAGATTTATATTCATATCACTCAATTCCTATTCATTTACGTACACATTTTTAGGAATGTTTACATATACACCTATCAATTCCTATGTATTGACATACATATCATTTATCAACTTATCTAAATACTTGGATGGTTAAATTACAAATATCAATATTTCGGGTGGTCTCCATGTAATTATCCCCATGTTCAAATCTGGAATGTAAATACATAAAAATTGGGGGGCTTGTGTGCAAATGCCCCATATCTATTCATCTATATAAGAGCCATTTTCTCATTACCTTAATCCAAAAAACAAATGCAACCAGAGCTCACCGCAGATTCACCGTTACTCCCTCTCCCGCGCTCGCGTCCAAATTAGGTCTCTTCTTCTTCCCCCCCTCCCTCCACATCTTCTGTTCGATGAAATGCGGAGCCAAACCAACTCTTAGCAATGAAGCTCTCCCTCTTCTTCTGCCTTCCCTTCTCCCTCATCCCTCTCCTCGCCATCCTGACCCTCCTCCGCTGCCGCTCCACCATCCGCCAGGCCTGCACCTATCAATTCACCCCCTCCGTCACCTCATTCTCATCCAACCCCACTCTCCTCCACCTTGCTTCTGACGATCCTTACTCGGAAGACGTGGTGAGCAAGGACGTCGACGCCACGTTCCCATCCTCCGGCGGCCGTCGCTCCCCGATTGTATGGCGCAATAGCGCCGCCGCGCTCCACCGTCCGGAGCTCCGGCGATCCCTCCTCGACTGGTGGCACAATCGACTATTTCAGCCGGAGATAATGTCGAATCTCACCGAACTCGTGAAAACCCCAATCGAAAAACACACCGGTAACTCAAACCCAAATCATCGGTACCCCTCCTGTGCCGTCGTGGGAAATAGCGGAATTCTACTCAATTCCAATCACGGCGATCTCATCGACGGCCACGATCTCGTGATCCGACTCAACAACGCTCGCATCCATGGCTTCCATCGCAACGTCGGATCCAAAACCAACCTCTCCTTCGTCAACAGCAACATTCTCCATCTATGCGCGAGAAGAGACGGCTGCTTCTGCCATCCGTACGGTGAGCACATCCCCATCATCATGTACATATGCCAGGCCATCCATTTCCTCGATTACGCGGCCTGCAATTCGTCGCACAAAGCTCCGTTGCTGATCACCGACATCCGATTCGACATGCTCTGTTCAAGAATCGTCAAGTACTATTCGGTGAAGAGGTTTGTGGAGATGAGCGGGAGATCAATGGAGGATTGGTCGAAATTTCACGATGAAAAGTGGTTTCATTACTCGTCGGGAATGCAGGCTGTGATGTTGGCTTTGGGGATTTGCGATCGAGTGAGTGTTTTCGGATTCGGGAAATCAGCGGAGGCGAAGCATCATTATTATACGAACCAGAAGGCGGAGCTAGATCTGCATGATTATGAGGCGGAGTATGAGCTTTACAGAGATCTGGTTGAGAGGCCGCAGGTAATACCGTTTTTACGGGATTCTGGTTTTATGGTTCCGCCTCTCGTGTTCTACCGTTAGATCATGATTCCGCTGAATCTTTTAAGGTTTATGAAATTTACAGGTTTTTTTTTTTTTTTTTGTTTATTTCCAATTATAGGAAACAGAATTTACTAGAAAATTGATCCATGATGCCATATGCCACGCGGCACTTTCAAGTGTAAAATTATTCCAATAGTTTGATTTTTTTTTTCGGGCAATTCACATTCATACGAAGTCATAATATATTTACATTGTCAACAGTTTGTTATTTTATATTGATGTTGAATCCTAATCTGTCCGCAGACCAGGGCCCAGAGATAAATCGTAGAGAGAACATGATAATTAGGGCTGTCGGAATGAATCGTTGTTCATGAACAACTCATGTTCGATTCATTAAAAAGTTCGTGCTCGGCTCGTTAAGAAGCTCGTGTTCCGCTTGTTAAAAATTTCATGTTTGATTCGTTTGCTAGGTTAAAGAGCTGAACACAAATACTTTTTTTTTATGCTCGATATATAAACGAGCCGAATACGAACAAAGATTTTTTCGTTCATGTTTGGGTCATTTGGGCTCGAAATAATGGTCATTGATTATATATATATATATATATATATATATATATATATTGATGAGATCTATTTGTAAAAA